GATCGCCGACAGCTAAGTGGCCAGATGGGTTGTGGCGAGTAATGACATTTGAAGTATGACAAGGAGCCCTCTGTGAAGTGAGAGACTTGATGGGAAGAAATTCAAGGTGGTGATCTTATTGAGGGATTAAGAAGACAACCTCCTAATAATAATAATAATACTTGCATTTGATACAGCGCCTTATCACATCTTCAAGATGTCTCAAAGGGCTTCACAGAATACACTGTCAGGTGAATTGACTGTATATTTTGTGAGTGAAACGCGGCAGCCAATTGCGCACAGCAGTGTCCTACAAACAGCCGTGGATTGAAGTGACCAAATTATTATCTTTTTCGAAAGGATTATTACCCATGGAAAGTGATCTGCCAATTGACTAACAACCGGGTTCCTACTTACTGCTGGGTAAATAGTGATGTGTGGAGTAAGGAAACTTGCCTAGCGTTTTGCGCTGCCCGGGAATCGAACCCAGGTCCTCTCGCTTGCGAGGCGAGTGGTCTAACCTCTAAGGTACAGGTCTCCACTCCAAATATAGATCATGGAGATGAAACTTCAGTAATTTAGAGCTGTGGTTTTAAACCTTGCAGTGAAATGAAGCCTCACACTTGCTCCTAATCAGGTGACGTGTTACTGTTTGTGATGCCACAACGCGCCTTTGTTCTGTGGTAAGAGTTTGATTGGCTCATGTTAGAACTGGTGAAGTGCCCACGAGTCCTCAATGAAAAGATTGTGCAAGAAGTTTGTTCACGATGCGTAATTGATAATGAGGAGGTTGTTGGAAGTCACGACATCTGACTGGCTCGGTTATTGGTCACTTGGTTAGTAACCGGGTCAAGGTCGCGAGCCACACAAATTCATCGAGGACATTGCCGATGATCGTGGTTGGTGGTTGCCGTTCATTGTTGTGTATGTGCAGTTGAGTGAATTTCCACGCAAACCGTTTCCTGAACAGTTGAAAACTAAAGTGTTTCTTAAATGTTTGTCCCACCCTGCTGTGCCCATCCACGTGCGGTTTGGATGGAAAAGTAGCAGTGGCATTATCAGCAAATTAGAATTCTTGCTCAACACCGGCAGGTTCGTGCTGAGTGTCTGCAGGCTGTCTGACTGGAGAGCAGGAGCAGCACAAAGCATCACAAAGTACGACACCAATAACCCGTAATCACTGCCCATAATCAGCCAGAGACCCCAGTGTCACACACACACCCAAGGCCATGATGTGCAGACAGCTCCACTTCTACCAATTGGCCTGGATGTGCTGTATGGATTGCTGAGCTGCAATTTGGAAACGTGAGAGAACTGCTGTTCCTCTTTGTATCTTCTGACCCCTCTCCCCCCCCACCCCACCCCCTTCACCTTGCTTTCGATTTCCCGCCACCAAAACCTTTGGGAAACCGAACAGCAACTTCCGTAGAAGCAAGAGAGTTTCAAATGCAAGCATTTAATTTCTGCTGTTTGTGTCCCTAGCTCAGGGGGATAACAGACAGGCAGGTACTACACGTGAGGTTTTATTCAGTTTGAATCCCCAGGTTGGTAGGTCATAATGTTGGACACCCTATATCAAGGCCACTGTTTCCCTGAAATTCACTCAGTTGTGCCGTTACACGTGCCAGCTGCACAGCCATCAGCAATGTCCCTGCTAAGAAACATTCGAGCTTTGGCTCACAGTGTCAGCAAACGTTGGGTTCACTACTGCAAGCAAGCTAGAGAGTTCATTGGGCAACTTTCTGAACGGGAGGTACGGATGATCGCAGGTGGCGCAAATTCAACAACATTAACAACAAATTCAATTTGTATAGTGCCAGTCACGTCAGGAGGACGTCCCAAGGCGCTGGACAGTCTGGGAGCCGGTAGTTTGTATCAGAAAGGGTGGAGGGTTGGGAGGATAGGGGTAAGAGGGTGACCGATGGTACGGTTGAAGAGGAGGGTCTTGAAGGAGGCAAAGGAGGGAGCGAGGTGGAGGAACTGTAGGATGCAGTTCCAGAGGGTGGGGGCAGAGAGGCTGAAGGCTGCCCGCCAATGGTGGGGGGGCTGGGCGTGGGACATAAAGCAGGCCGAAGCATGCTAAGTGGAGGGAGCGGACAAGTTGATAGGGGGGTAAGGAGATCACAGAGGTAGGGATGAGCAAGGCCGTGGAGGGCTTTGAAGGTGAGGACCAGGATCTTGAACTCTATCTTCTGAGTGATGGGGAGCCGGGCGAGGATGGGGGTGATAGGGTCGCGGAGCCTGGAGCGGGAGAGGACACGGACTGCAGAGTTCTGGGTGATCTGCAGCCTATGGAGAGAGGAGTTGGGGAGGCCGACAAGCAGGGAGTTTGTGTAGTCGAATCTGGATGTGATGAACGTGTGGATGAGGGTCTCGGCGAGATAGAGGTGTAGCCGGGCAATGTTGAGGAGGTGGGGAAAGATGGAGCGGGTCATGGCACAGATATGGGGGAGGAAGGACAGTTGAGGGTCGAACAGGTTGCCAAGGTTCTGTATTGGCTCTGTGAAGGATGATGCTGTCAGTGCCCGAGATAAGGAGGCGCTGACGGGAGCCAAGCAGGAGAACCTCGGTCTTGTTGCCATTCAACTGCAGGAAGTTAGCTCTCATCCAGGACTTGATGTCCAACAGACAGCCTGTGAGGACAGCAGTGGTCTTGGAGTGGAGGGGGAGAGGTAGAGTTTGGTGTCATCTGCAAACATGTGGAAGTTGACCGTATGTCTACAGATTCAGTGTGTACATCACCCCTGGCAGTGGAACCAGTTGCTGCGAACATGTGTTTGAGAATCCTGATGGCATTTTCCATACAAGTGAGCTAAATGGACATGAGGTTCTGTGCTCTCTGCATTTTCCATCTGATGAATAGGGATGGGAAACCAGAGTAATGGTCAGGGTCCCTCAAAGCACAACTTTTGTGCTGTTTTATTCATACTGGCTGTGTTGTCTCTAGGTGTGGCTATTGAATTCACATCCACATGACCAGCCACCTCAAGCAATATATTGTCAATGTAAAAATGTGAAGGCTGTGACCCAGCACCTTAATTGGATCCAAACTCGATGTAGTAACTTGGTGACACACCAATATGCTTGTAGAGTTATACAGCCTTTATCAGTCTTCGAGGGCCATGTACAATGCAGGATATGTATAGTAAATCATGAGGAATATATAATCTGTAACAGTTATATCTTCTATCATGATTTATAGCCAAGTGGCACAGAACAATTGATGAATTGTTGTCAAAGTTCTACAGATCTCTTCCCAATCTTCACCCCTGTGTCTTTCTCCTAATACTCGAGGCCTGATGGGCTACAGGGTTGCACGTGTGCATATCATTAAATTCCAAAAGTGTGTCCCACCTAGTGCACATCTGCTCCTGAAGGCAAGCTAGAAGACCCGATTCAATGTGATTGTATTGTTTACTCTGAATCCCGATTTCTCCCAATTCTCTCTGTGCAAGAAATTGCCAGCCCAGGGGGACTGCATGTCTGAATACTTCTTGAATGGGACATGGGATATATGTGTGAACTGATGCTTGTATGAATGTTTTTAAGATTGATAGCTACCCCATTTATTGCTTTGTTAACACACAAGCACACAATGAGAAAGACTTGTTCTGTAGTTGCATTTAATCCATATCTATCCACGTAGAATGCCATATCAATGTAAAACAGAAGCTGAAAGCAATCCTATTAAGATGTCTTATCAACTTCTGAATACTGGTGCTTTGGAAGTGTAATGAGACCCTGAAATGTTTTATGACCTGGAATTGCTTGCTGTCAAGGTGATTCAAAACCTTCAACTCAATACTATCCAACACGGCACTGAATTCAACATGCTCACAGTTTTGCTAGCGGGCATGGCAGCCTTTCTTATATAAATTGATGCTCTCTAGTTCTTGTATTAATGCCATTGTGAGTTTGGTGCTAAATGGTGGACACATTGCTTGTTCATAGAATCTTACAGCACAGAAGAATGATTCCGAAGGATGATACGGCCCATCGTGCCTGTGCCGGCTCTTTGAAAGAGCTACTAACTAGTCCCTCTCTTACCCCATAGCCCTGCACAATTTCCCTTTGTTTCTAGATTTCTCTCCATGTTTGCAAGATTCTTACATGTAATCTTCCCGCAGTGATGAGTCACTTCGAGTTACCTCATGTTCCCGAGTGGGTGCCTCCATGATGAGGATGGAGTGTGTGTGTGTGTGTATATATATATATATTAATATATATATACACACTATATGCAACATATTTATTCTCCTTTGGAATGTTTTTTCCCCATCAGTAACTACACTGGCACCACTTGAGCTCTCTTTTATTTTAGTCTTTTTTTAAAACTTGTGCAGATTTACTTAAAATTATCAGTTCATTAGCCTGCTTGCTCCCTGTCTTGAGATCCACAAATCCATATTATGTAATGCAAAGTCTTGAGAAAGCCTTTTTGAATTCATGTGAACGGCAAAGGTGATCGATCAATGGGTACAAGTGAGTCCACAACATGGAATGTGTGGGGTAGCTTTATCTCTTTAGTTTTATATTGTTTGTTTTAATCCCTCCTGGCAACCAAGGTGGTAGATGTGGTGATCACGATCAGATGCCTCTATCTGGATGTTTGATATCTATATTGAAGACTTACGAATGAATCATCTCAAGCCTGCTTGATTATAATAAAGTTGTTACTGTAAAATATACATATGAATAGCTATCATTCCAGCAAGTTGCATTACCCTCTGGAACTCAATCCCACAGTCCCTTGGCCTCCCTCACTCCCTCTGAAGACCCTCCTCTTCGAATGCACCTTTGGCCACCCTTCTACCCCTGCCTCCCCCCCCTTCCTGGATCCAACCCCCAGGTCGAGTCCAAATCCTGGCTGTCCAATGCCTTGGGACATCCTCCCGATGTGAAAGGCCCAATACAAATGTAATTTGTTGTTCCCCAGACTGTGCACGGAGCATGATATCCTTTTTGTTGAATAGGGAATGCTGAAGTAACTTGATCTATTTTCTTACTTTAGGGTTCTATTCCACAACGCTGTTCTAAATGAGAGGCACTGATGAGGACTGAAGCGGCTAATGTGTTTCCCTAGCGATCAGGGGATGGATATGAAATCACAAGAAGGCCATGGTTTTCAATGACTGTCTGTGACTGTGCTTACGGACTCAGAATTGTTCATCGGGTTTTCACCTTTGACGAAAGTCCTCTAGACTCTCTCCAATCAGCGGGAAATATCTGGTTGCTATGGAAAGTAGTCGTGCAAGCCGAGATAAAGAGAAAGTAGAAGACAGTCGGCGATCCTCCAAAAACCAGACAGGACGAAGTCCTCATGGCGGACGTTCCTCTTCAACCCATTCAACCGGAGTGCTCATGGTGGGACCAAACTTCAGGGTTGGCAAAAAGATTGGAAGTGGAAACTTTGGTGAGCTTCGGTTAGGTAAGAGCAACTTTTATTGCAACCATGTAATTTCGCGACTACTTTAGTTGTGCAAAGTGTTTTTACTGACCAAATTACCAACACGTTCCAAGGTTCACTGGGTTCCAAGTAAAATAGCTTCCTTCACTTTGGGCTGTTAACTTGCTTCACTGTACCCCTGGAATAGGAATGGTTGGTTAACGGGAATGTTCAAACAGCACTTGAATTTTTTCTTATTTAAAAAAAATCACTCTGCCCTTTTTCTGTAGTCCACAATTACAACAACAGCTTACACTTATATAGCGCCCTCCATGCAGGGTAGAGTCTCAGAGCACTTAATAGTGGTAGCACCTGACTCCGAGCCGGGGGTGGGTGCAGAGGGGGCCATAAGCACAGTCAAAGATGAGAGTTTTCAGGCGGGACTTGAAAAAAGGGCGGAGGGGGCAAGGCGGAGGGATTGATGGAGAGTGTTCCAGAGTTTCAGGGCGTAGTGAATGAAAGTGCGACCTCCGATGGTGGAGCGGAGGGTGTGAGGGACGAGCAGGAGCTGCTGCCAGTCGAGCGGAGGCACCGGGTGGTGGATTGGGGAGTGAGAGGGTCGGAGAGGTAGGGAGGTGTCAGGGAGTGAATGGATTTGAACACAAGTGTGAGGATCTTGAAGTCGATCTGTTTGGTGATGGGGAGCCAGTGGAGCCTGGGCCAAAGCTAGTGAGATGTGGGTACGGGGTTTGGTTTGGGTCAGTATGTGGGCGGCAGCGTCTGAAAGAGCTAATCTTGTGAATAGTGGAGCTGAGTGAGTAATCCAAACGTATTGTTAACTAAGGTATTGGGTTGGAGGCCTTTTACTTGGCCTCTGGTAGTGACATTCAGTTGCTGGCTACTTGATGTAAATGGGTTGAGGTCATTGGCCCTTTGAGGTATTTATCATTTCTGTTTTCTTATGATTCTCCTATGCCACACACTGCCTTGTGTTGAGGGCATGAGATGGTGACCTGCTTCTAGTCTTTGCTTTCCCATAACGAATTGTATACAATTCTGACAGGAGAGTTATAGCTCAACAACACAGTTCTTCCTTTTCAGCAACTGTATAACTGACGGGGTCAGATTGGACAACCAACAAGTAGGAAAACATAACATTTAGCTTCAAGTGAAGCTGTGTTTTGCAAGAAGCTATGTTCAACATGCAAAATATTTCTAAATTAATCTCTTGAGATTGGGAAAGCAAAACTCTTTTCAGGAGATCTAAACAGTGAAGGAATAGCCTCTTCCCATGATATGATGAGTGTTGAGCCAACCAACCAATTTTTAATGCTGCTCCCAGGATATAAGCCAAATAGAAATTTTGATTCCTGGCCAGGAAGGAAAATCTGGCAGGAGTAATTCAGATGTTTACCCTGGTGCTGTTTATAGTACTGTACAGGTCCAGTTGGGGCTGAAGTGATGCTGATTCTTCCAGCAATGTAAATGTTGCTATCGGAAAACTCCATACCTTTCTGACTAAGCGATTGTATCATTTAATAATAAATAATAGTAATCCTTGCATTATTACCCCCGGAAAAGTGCTTTGCTAATCGATGTAACAACTGGGTTCCTACTTACTACCACTACTAGTATTAATAATAATCCTTACATTTGATACAGTGCCTTATCACGTCATTTAAGATGCCTTAAAGCGCTTCACCGAATATACTGTAAAATGAATTGAGTTTTTTTTGGGCGATTAGTTAATAGGTTCAGAGTGGAATACCCTAAAGATGATGATAGGTAGGAAAGGGGAATGTACAACCTTGGCCCTGAGGGAATAAAGCAGGGAATTGAGGTGACCAGCACATTGGACATGGAAACCAAGACTAGCAGTGTAAGCTGTACAACAACATACTCTTGGGGTTGGGGAGCCAAGGTGGCCAGCAATCTGGGGATGAGGAATGTAACACTGGAGCTGAAACCAAGAAAACACAATAGTGAAGAAAGCTAGAGTGCAAGCAAAATGCAATACAAAGCTAAGATAGAAATAAAATGAGAAAGAAGGAAAAGTAGAAAAGAGGAAGGATTGTAACCAAGGAAAGGAGTGTAACAAAGCAAGGCTTCATGACTGTCAGATGGTGGAGCTTTACAGGTTTGAGTGAAATTGGTGACTGGCAGAGATTGTGATTCAGTTTTCAGTTCAAGAGATTCCTTTTTACTTCAGGAAGCAGGGTGTGGAGAGGCTGCTTTTGCAGATGCACAGAAATGGCTGGAACTTTGAAACCATTTCTGCACTGTTCTCTCCAACCTTGCCCTCTTTGTTGTCACCCTCTTATGTACAGTCGTGTGGTATGGGTTGGGGAGGTGTATTGAACTATAAACGTTGTAAATATACTGTTGATTTGCAATGGGTGTTAGTGTGCGCTAGTAAATGATTTTATTTATAGTTTTCATACAGTGGTTTTCAAAGAATAATAGTCTAACAGGGATGGCCAACTTGCATTACACAGATTCAAAATAGGGCTGCAGGTTGGCCATCCCTGATCCATAAAATCAATTAATAATAATGATAATAATCCTTGCATTTGATATAGCGCTTTTCACGTCGGGAGGACGTCCCAAAGCGCTTCACAGAATATACTGTAAAGTGAATTGACTGTATATTTGTGGGCGAACGCGGCAGCCAATTGCGCACAGCAATGTCCCATAAACAGTCGTAGATTGAAAATGACCAATTTATTATTGTTTTTGGTTTTGAAGGGATTATTATTAGGCTCTGTGTGTAGTAAGGAAACTTGCCCAAGGTTTCGCCCTCTGCCTGGAATTGGCTTTTTTTAGCCAAAAAGTCTTATTTAAAGAAAGGAAAGTTTTGATCCATTGCTTCTGTTTTATATATTTCTAGATAAATTAAAACAGCTCGGCTCTTTTTAGGTGAAGATTCCATGGATGGGCACTGCCTGTCTACAGTAGACCTTGTTTCTTGGTGTTAGGTACATGTCACGGAAATGGGCCATTCAGCCCAACTAGTCCGTGCCAGTGTTTATACTCCACACAAATGCTCTCCCACCCCTCCCCCCCGGCGCAACCCCCCCCACCCCTCCTATCCGCCTCACTGATGTAGGAATAAATGCCGTGTTTCCTGCAGCTCTTATTTAGTTCCAGTAAATTTTCAAACCTCAAGATTGCAAAAGGCATGAGGTAGTGTGCTGGTCATATTTGTAGGTATTTAAGCAGTTGTCATTCACTGTTATTTGCTGTTACATGATTTTTAACCAGAAGACTCGTTTTTCACATATGGCAGTGGAGAATTTTGTAATTTGCTGTCCACGACTGGGTGAAAAGGAGGTTATTAAAATTAACCAAATGGATTGAGTCCACAAGGAACCATTCTTTTGTATAATTAGACTCAAGCACTGGCTCTTAGTAAACGAGGATAAATTAACTCATCAAGATAATTGCCGGATGGTTTGTGTCTTCTTTCATATCCGTTGTAATAGTCTGCTCTTGTAAATAAACTTAGTTACTAATTCTAGTCTGTTTTCATTTCTGTCACATTGAAAGACTACACAGATTGCACTACCAGATTACTGCAAGTAGAGTAATTGTGAGCGCTTAGGCATGTGGCTTTGCAAAGAGAGACTTCCACTCTGGGTTGTAGAGGACAGGAAGTACAGTCATAATAATAATTCTTGCATTTGATATAGTTCCTTCTCACATCCTTGTGACCTCTGAAAGCGCTTCACAGAATATACTGTAAAGTGTAGTGACTGTGTTTTATGGGCAAAACGCAGCAGCCAATTGCGCACAGTTAGTCGTGGATTGAGTGACCAAATTATACTTTTTTTGAAGGCATTATTACTCCCGGTAAAGATGGGAGTAAGGAAACTTGCCCAACGTTTCTTCCTGCCCAGGAATCAAACCCAAGACTCTCGCTTGCGAGGCGAGAGCTCTAACCAGTGAGCTACAGGACTTCACACAGTTCACAGAATAACACGTCATTACAGGTGAAGAGAGTACTCCAAGAGCCAAAACATTAACCATCTTCCTGGCTTTTAATTGATTTTCTTTGTAGGTTTGAGTGGATGACAAATTGGCATTGAGTTTCTGCCAATATTTTTCTAAAGGTCTTAAGCCATGTGTTTTCAAACTGTGGGACCCTCCCCCTCAAGAGCATGACAAGGTTATTGGGGGGGAGTTGGTGCAAAGACCTGAACGGCCTTTCTGCCCCCACTCTCTGGAGCTCCGGAGTCCGTCCGCCTCGCCCCTTCCCTTGCCTCCTTCAAGGCTAATCTCAAAACCTTACTCTTTGATCATGCCTTCGGGCATCCTCCCACCTCCCTTGCCTCCATCCACTCTTAATTCCAACCCCCAGCTCAGTCGCAAACCCTTCACTATCCAGCACCTTGGCACATTCTCCTGACGGGAAAGGCGTTGTATGAATGCATTTTGTTGTTGCTCTTGTTACTAATCTAATGATAAAATTACAATGTAATGTCCAAAAGGCCAAATGAATTGCATGATACTATTGTAAAAGAGAAGGGTGACCAAACATTAATTGTAATGATTAATGGATTTATTATTATTATCTTTTTACTATTATTAAATATTATTTATTATTCTTAGAAAGAGAATAAGAACATGAATAAGAGAATGGAACATGAATCTCTGAAGTGGGTGCGCAGCAAAAAAAAAAGTTAGGCCTTTGCCTTAAGCAGTGCCCTTGTGTCTATTTTGATATTTGGTTCTGTTCAGCGCTGAACTAGCAGTATGACAGCTGGGAGAACGCTATGGAAACAGCAGAGCTCTGCAGAATAATAAATAGCTGGCCAATAACTTCATTTATACAGGGTGACCAAAAAGTCATGATACCATTACGATGGCTAATAAGTCTTAAAGAAATGACATTTGTTTTTAGATAAGAGGGTAGATATCACGACTTTTTAGTCCTGCATTTCAGAGCAAGGAAAAGCACCTGAATATTATTATTTTCCCAGCCTTAGTTACTTATCCCTTCTTTCACATTATGTGTGCACTTCTTGCTTGCACTCAGTGTTTTA